TTTTTCTCGAATACTTTTTCGAAACGAGTTAAGATAATAAGATCAAAAGTACTTTTCTGGAGAATTAATTGATAAATACGAAAGTTTATTTTTTTCCATATATAATCGAAAAAAAAAAAACATTTTTAGAGCGTATCGAGAAGGGGATTTTTACTTTCAATGCCTATTTTCGTTTCAGACACGCCTCTGTCACCAATGGGGCCGTCGTCGCCGAGTCAGGAGGGTCTATTCACGGATCTTCGCCTTTTGTCCTTGGAGAAGCAGCTCAATATCGAACTCAAGGTAGACATCGTTTCGAGAAAAATAGGGAGCGAAAACAAAAGGGATGGATATAAATTCGATCGAGCATCGACCTTTTTTCCTCTCTTCGCAAAAAAAATTATAGATCAATTTAAATTAATCGCAAGATAAGATTTTAAATGGCAGTGAATAGCAGTATTGATGGGAATATTTGAAAAAAAAAAAAAATGAATATTATAATTATCGCTTATAATCGACACGATTATAACCTCGTATTTTAAAATTGCAGGGCTTATCCAATATCCACCGACCAAGAATATCTTAATATCGTGCATAATGACAGCAGGAGGATATTTCCTATCGCGAATGATTACAGGGAGACACCAGAGTAACAGTTCTCGTTGCGTGAATCAGCAGAATGAATCGTCAGGATTTTTCTCTCTCTCTCTCTCTCTTTCCTAAACTAAAGATAGCTTCTCGTTTCGTCATACGTTAATCGGAATAGCAAGCTTTGAACTTATTTTATTTCTTTATCTCTATCTATTTGTAACATCAATTTGATTGTAAACGGATTCGAGTCAAGAATAATATTATTTAAATCTTTTGAATCAAGTTTGTGATAAATTGTGGAAAAATAAGAATAAATTTTTTATCGACATTGAAAGAGAAGATAGAGATGGATGGAGGAAAATTCTGCTTTAAAAAAATATTTAAAAGAGTTAACGTAATAACCTTTGATATTCGGAATCGATTTCTTCGAATTGTTAATATTTTAAACTTTCGGTTGATAATGTATTTTGGTCAATGATAAACATTCGTGCTAAGACCTCATTGCGTCGATTTCTGACTCACCACACCAAATCGAAAGCTAAAAAGAAGGAGAAGATGAAAACATTTTAGATAATTTCAATAGAAAAAATTGTCACCAATTTTTTGGCATTCAGCCAAGCTTGGGAATGTCAACGAATTTTCAATGTCCACGCAATCGATATATATATATGTATAGAATCGTATCCCTACGTCATATTGCGCGATCAGTTTCATGTAATAGGTTTATCGAGCTGGTGAATACTTACAATGTTTAGAAAACGCGTAGTCGTTTATCAGATCTTGGCGTGAAAAGACAGCAGCAAGAATGCCGAAATTTTCCTTCAAAAAGGTGAACCGTTCTCGATTTAAAGGAAAAACTATATTACTAGTAAATTGTAATATCACTAGAATTAAATATTTTTTTTTAGTAACTTCATAGTGACGTAACTCTAGTGATACAAGTGAATCGCAAGTGTCTTGATTTGAAAGAGTATATAAATAATATCGTTGAAACTATAAAAATAGTGATTTAGTTTTGCATCGAATTCAAGTGAAATAGATAAACGACAAACGCTCTAAACGTTTTCTTTTTTAATTTAAAAATTAAAAATTTTACAATATTATTAGGCAAAATTATAATGTTACTAGATGGATCACTGGAATTGGTATTGAATTCAAGTGAAACGGATGAATCATCCAATCATTAATCCAACTATAATCCCCTCAATTTAAAAACCATAAATTATATAAATTATCGTTGGAATATTTTAACTCCAACTAGTGATTTGTCTTTCCTTGTTGTGAAATTGCAGGTGAAACAGGGGGCGGAGAACATGATCCAGAGTTTGACGAGCGGAAGAGACAAAAAGTTGCTGCAGGAGGCTCAACAAATGCTCGACGATTCTCGCGCTAAAATCGAGTTCCTACGTATGCGAATAATGAAAGTGCGGCAAGCCCGTCAACAACAACACGCGCGAGGCGATGCGCCACCGCCTAATGGCGAGACGACTAGCAATAAAGGTACAAAATTGTACCGTACCTTCGATATCGAGAAATGTGTGAGAATTTTTTGATTTAAGACGAGGGATTATTCGCCACGCAAGGACGTAATTATTGGCAATTAAGTTTCATCGTGTCGTGAATATATTTATAAGCGATACGACTCGTCGTGACTCGTGTACAATGCATAGTTATATTATGTGGTATTACGCGATTTGATTGTGATAACTGGCCGAATATGGGCCACAGACCATGCGTGAAATATATGATGATATAATTTAGATGGAAGTAATGAGTAATGGAAATATTACACTTTCTCACGGTTGAGGAGCAACTTTTTTTTTTTCCGTTTAAATTTGATATCTTTTTTGTTATTACTTTTTTTATTACTTAATGCTTTAAGTTACCAGCGATTGCATAAATCTTGTGATGATCTCTCTTACGTGATTGTATTTCTTAAGATACATCATCGATATTGTATTTAATATTTTGTATTATAAGTATGTGCACGATTTTTTAATTATAATTTAAAAATGCTTGTGGCATCATTGATCGATTCTGTTAAATTTCACGTATTTTATTCTATTTTTTAAAACGAATATAGATAAAAGAGCAGATATTGAATTAATCCATTGAATATCTCGTATAATATCTCTCATAATTCATTGATAATAGAACAATTATTAGATCATATAAATTGTAACAATGAACGTTATTTTAAAATAATTTACTACTTGTATATCGTAAAAGCAGTAAATATTTACATATTTATGTACATATTAGGAGTATAGTTAGTGAAATAACAAGTTATACTTTACGTAACTGTACATACACCTTTTATCTCATCGATT